ATATCGTATGGAAGAACTCTTTTATGCCAAGAGTAAGCCTAACGTGATGCAACTCCTTCGGAACAAAATCTCAATTCCAAACCTTTAATTGAATGTAGATATCAGAATAAAGATTCTCATAAAACACTGATAAGTTCAATAATTTTTTACAACTTCATTGATGATTTGGCTAACCATTTTTATAAAATTCTTATGTCTTGCTAAATTGGTACGTTGAGACTCTCTAGAGTTTTCTATACTAAATTTTTGAATTTCTTCTTGAATTCTATCAAATGCATCCAATGCAATCTCCAACTTTTTAGTTTTCCTTGTCTCTTTCTTAATTGCGATCTGGCATCTTCTTAACAACTGTGTTGAATCTGACCTTCTCAATTTCTTGTATCATCGGAACTCTTTATAAATATCTAATTTGCCTCATGACTCCTTGTGGAATATAAATGACCAATCTGTTGGTGCTTGCCAAAGGGATAAAATTATGCTAAATAGTTTTGAAAGTCGGATCCCTAACTTTTGTCTAATCCAAAATCCATTGCACTTTATCCGGTGTCAAGCTATCAAACTCTTGAACAAACTAACTTGGAGATGCTATTTGGTATACCTTTTACCCTTTTTTGGTGTGATTCGATCCAATCCTCTGTTGAGAGATAAGATCCCAAGGGTTTAAGCGTTCTTTTCACTAAATGTTTCATTACCCACATTTGGAGTATCAAATTTGATGCATATAAGAACCCCTCCCTCTTTTTGACATTCAGTAACGGTTGTAAAGATGTCAGCAATGATAACAGGTACCAAAGTAGGCGTCTTTCCGTTGACTCCTAAAAATAGACTCTAAATCACGTTGATAGTTGAGAAAATTATTTTTGTATACCTTTGCGGAAACAATAACAGATTGATTAAAACTAACCCAAATACTTGAACACGCTTCTCTTCCCATTGATCTTTACTTATGAAGAAATCGACACGACATTGTTCTTAAGATTCTTTTTTTCCAAACCATTTGTATAGAAACTCCAACAGACATGACTTTATATCTGGATGTCGGTCCATGCTATCTTGGCTCAATCCCAAAAATTTACAAAACTACTCTCTCGTCCCACCACTTGGATACACCATAAGATGACCTTTCCCTGGTACTTGCAACAGACCTTCTATTTCTTTCAAAGTCAGTGTCAATTCACATTTTCCAAATCGAAAGACTGAACCCTCTAGATCCCAATATTCGAGTAAAGCTCGAATGATTGCAACATTAGGTGTCACGTTCAGAAGACTTGATAAGTACCCCATATACTTGAACAATTTTTTCACCTCATATGACATATTATTTTTCAGTCAATTAATTCTCGAGGTATCTAATTTAGTACTCTACAAAGAGCCATCTGAGCAGAAATTCACTTTTAATACCTTATCTTAGGATTTTACCTCTTAGAATAGTATAAAAGTATAAATGTGCAAGTTTTATTGGATTACATATCCGAGACAAAAAGGTAGCTTATCCCTAACGTGGGATCCCCTACGTGACATTCCTTCTATGGTTGATACATGATGACAGTTTATTAAAACGAATAAATGTGCAATACGATAATTGAAACATGATCTAAAGGTGCCCTATTTAAATGTTGGAGTAAGGTTAAAGATGACATGCAATTTATATAGTATTAATATGATAAACTGAAATTTAAACGTGTTTTTTAAAAAAGGTGAATCTGTCCTAAATGAGTACTATGTCAGGACTCTTATTTTTAAACCTTATAAATGCAAGACAGAAAAGAAAATAATGGTTAGCTCATTTGATAAATAACACATAACACATTGGAGTAACAAAATGATACAGAAAATATAAGATAAAGAAAAAGGGGTAGAATCCCTCCCCTCATGTCCGGTACTCCTAATAGGATAAGGTAAATTCTATCTTAAATGATTTCTAAATAGATGCATGAGATTGGGGTTCACTAATACATCTAAAATCGATAAGGTTTCAGACTCCCAAACCTTTAGACCAAAAGCCAATGGGTCATCAATCTCAAGGCCTCTAGTCGATGACTTGAGTGATCCCTTAGGTACCGCTATGGGCGCAAGACACACTATCTGCATATCCAAGAAAAATCAATTCTAATCTTATAAGAAAATGTGGGATGGCGCCCACAAAAATAATAAAAATAGGATAAAAGTAATGCATGCACGTATGAATTGCTTCCTTCGAGGGGAGGAATTAAATACCATTAAATATGCATAGAAGTTCTAAAGTAATTAACCCCCAATCCAAAATGCAAAGCACGATACAAGTAAATAAATACAAATAAAATAAACAAAAGTAAATAAGTAAACCATCCTTCACATGTACGAAGAACGAGAAACGAATACGAGTGTGAAATATAAAAAAGTCGTAAAAGAAAAAATGTAATCTAAAATATCCAAATATGGTAAGCGAAAGGGTTAGAAAAAGAAAAGGTGACTAAACCAAATGTTTGGATTCACTAGTGGTCCCCAATGGAGTCACCAAACTGTCACGCCCCATTTTTTGCGATGAAAAAGGTTTTTACAAAAAATATGTGTTTTTTATTTTTTGAAAAATAAAATAAGTGAAAAAAGGCTTAAAATGGGACTTTAAAGAAGTCGATAGTTTGAGTCCAAAAGGGTTGTTAAGAAAATTTAGGTGTACCAAATTATTCAAAAATGTTTTTAACAAAAAAAATGACAGATTTAATCAAAATTTTCCTAATCTAACTCTTAAATTTATCACATTTAGATGCTTCCTATATGGATGCAAACTTAAATTTAAAAAAGATATCGAAAGGGATAAAATATCCATTCAAAATTTAATTGGTATCAATTAAATTATTGAGAAGTCCAAAATAATCCCTTGAAAGAGTTACGAATATACAAAGATGAAATTCGAAGAAAAGGGAATTAAATTATATATATAGGTATAAGTGATCAAAAAAAAAAGAATGCAACATAACGGTACGGGGGACAAAAACTCATGACACAATTTTCTTTCTTATAAGATGATTAATGGAGTATTTAAACTAAAAAACTATAATTGTCCATTTCCCATATTAGAAAAGCGACTCTTCTAACCTAGACAAGCAAATGAATTAACTTATTTTTTAATCTTCTAAATGAGTTGCAATTCTAAATGATGTGATTTACACATATAGAGGGTAAAGGAATAATATAAGAGAAAATATTATGTAAATGAGAAAAATGGCCTAAAATAGGAAAAATGAGTGAAAATGCGATGAATGACACACAAAAGATGAATCTAACACATGAAGGACATAAAAATCTAGCGTTAGACTAACCCATTTCTAGAAATCCTCACTAACATTGGACTAGTCAAGAAGTAGAGGGAGAAATTACAACTAGCGTTGAATTAGAGTGGTGATGTCATGCATTCACAATACATAATAAAACAAATAAAACATGAATTAAAACAAGTAAACATGTAAGAACACATAGCACATAACACATAAGCGTAATATCTAGATGTAAAAATCCTAAGAATAGCGGTAAAACACATAAACACATAGACACGCAAAACCTATCTATTACAATGAGGGACCTAACTACAATCTAAAATGGGAAAAAATATAATAAAATAAATCTATCTATCCTATCTATTACATTGTCCTATCTAGTTATAATTTTTGCAAAATATTACCTATCTATTACATCTTGTGATATTAACCCGTCCGAAGGTATGAACTCGCATTCCACCAATCCCTAGACCTAGACAAAGAATCAAGTTGAATTGCAGAACTCTTGACCCCTCTAAATCACGAAACTATGAACTAAGAATATTTCTTAACCCACAACTTAATAATTTAGCGAACCAAAATTGTTTGTAAAAGAACGCCACAACCAAGGTGGATACTTGATTGATAAGTTCGATGAATACTCTCAAGAAACTCTCAAGTATTCAAGAAGGCTCTCTTGGACAAAAGAAAGTGAATAAAAAAACTCACTGAATTTTGTCCTTTTTTTATTAGCTAAAAACATTGGAAAGATTAGGTTGTTTATAGCCCTACATGGACTCAAAAACTTAATGTGATTTGGACTTACTTAAGTGACTAAAACTCTAGTTAAAATTCGGCTCAATTAGGACTTAATCTGGCTGAAACTAAAATACTAAATAAATGACTTAAAACAACTAAATTAATCAACTAGAATTCGGCACAATTAAAGGTTAAGCTGGCCGAATTAATTAGCTAACTTAAACGACCCAAAATAGTAAAGATTGACATTTATAGCCTTGCTATCAATGCCAATTAAATGACACAACTTAGAACTTGAATAACTTGAGCATGTGGAGTTTGCACAGCCTTGAGTCCTTCATCATCTTGAGGTATTTAAGTACCTCCCACATAATTATAAAATTAACAAAACAAACATCAACAAGTTTGAATAAACGTTTAAATTAAATAAATAACAAAACATGTAAAAACTTATAAATATAGAGGAGCACATAAGAACATATAATCGAAATTTAAAGGATAATAGGGGTACTTCCCTTTTGAAGTGGTGACTAAATGAGGTAAAGTTGCCCTATTTATACTAAAAATCAATAAAAGATCACGGTACCAATTTAATTGAAAATAATAATAATAATAATAATAATAAATGTACTAGATTCACATAAATATGTCAAACATAAAGAAACTTAAGAACATTTAAAAATTACAAGTTGAAAATATTCGAGAGTAACATAATTAGCTATTAAAGAAAAAAAACATTCATAATAAAGAAAATAAAAAAGTCACTAGGAACTAATTTGCAAAAATTAGAAAATTTTTGGGGACAAAATATAATTTTTCAAAAGTTTAAGGGTCAAATTACATCAAGATAAAGTTTATGGGCCAAAATGCGATTAATTTAAGTAAAGAATTGAAAGAAATTTAAAAATTTTTGAGCCACAATAAAATTACTCAAAAGATCAGGACCCAGTTTGCAAAATTCAGTTTCTGATTTGGGGAAAATATGGAGAAACAAAAATTGGGCCGTTTTTTTAATATGTTGGGCCGGACTACTCTGTAGCCCAAAAGAAAACTCAGGCTAATCTATAAAAAAAAAATACAAATAAGCCCAAAGAAAATTTGGACAAAATTACAGATAATAAAACGTTGGGTTTAGCTCCAACAATCCAACCACAAACCCAACAAAAATAAACTAGCAGCCTACCAGAAATAAAAAACAAAAAACCCAACATTTTTCTTTCTTTATTTCTTTTCCTTTTTCTTTCTTTTTCTTCTTCTTCTTCCTTTCTCTCTTCTTCTTCTTTTCCGAGAAGACAGAAGCTTCATCCAATGATCATAGCTGATGCCGGCGATGGGGTCGTCATTGGACCACCGTCGGTCGCCGATCACCGGCGACCTCTCCAATTTGCAGAAAATTCACCAAAATACATCCTCAATTCGATTTTTTGCATAGAATCCGTTCTTGGCTTAGTTTTTGCAAAAAAAAAAAAGAAAAATGGCAAAATTGATATAAAAAAAACAGTCCAGCTTTTATTTTTTAAAACCACTCTAATCACCACTAAAATTCATAAAATCTATACCAAAATAATTCTTATGGATTCTAGGGTACAACTATGACCTTAGTTTGGCCAAAAAACAACAAAATGATACATTAAAGCAAAACAACCCAAAAAATCAAGAAAAATATTTCAATGCTTTTTTAAGGCTCAAAAACTCCAAAAATTTGAATCACCAAACATTTTTCAGGCCACATACTAGCTATAATCATCTATTTTAACGAAAATGTGTACAAAAACTTACTCCTTTAACTTAATCGTCATTTAGGCATTTTACCAAACACTTAGCATACATACACAAAAATCATTTCCCTTTCCTTAATCTTGTTTATAACTTAGCCCTAGATTTCAATGACATAATAATGACAACAAAACCAGAAAAAAAAAGAGAAATTAAACAATTAAAACAGGGGTTTAACATGATTAACAAAGTTGGAAAATACCTCAATGTGAGCAAGAGTTTCTCGGTCAAATTTTTTGAAGGAATTCCCAGGTTTCAACCCTTTGTTGCTTGCTTTATTGTGTTTGATTTGTGTGTGGGTGTGTTGTGTGAATTGAGAGAAAAGAGAGGGATAGAGCCGAGAGAGTGCAGGAGAGTTTTGAGTGGGAGTGTTTGTAATGGTGTCTTGAGAGTTGAGAGAACCAATTGAGAGAGTCGAGGGGAAGTTTTTTTTGTGTCGTTAGAGTTGTTAGGTTGTGTCTTGGCCTCTTGAACCAAAAAAAAAAAGGAAAAAAAAACTGAGAGATAGAGAGAGCCGAGAGTTGAGAGATTCAGGGAGAGGGTTGGAGTTGTTATTGTACCAATGTGTTGAGAGAAAAAAAAAAAAAGACAGAGAGAGTGGGGAGTTAGTGAAGGGATTTGGTTGGAAAATGGTGATTTTTTTCAATTAATATGTAATACATAGGATGTATATGAGATGAAAAAATTATTGATAATAATAATTTAATTTTAACAAATAAAGTTTCCTATTTGACAAGTCGTAGTATTATTATACTCCAATCATCCTTACAGCTGCACATCCCCCTTTTTACCCTAGTAATTGGCTGAAAAATTGGTCTGGACTCCCACCATGGACTATAATTTCATCACCGCCTATATAGATTGGCAAACCACCAAAACATGGGACAAGAATAAGACTTTTGCCCACAATTATGATTTATTAGCAGCCTATTTGAGGAAAAAATTTGACATGCCTGTCTCAAGTGGATAGTGCCAGTCTAGAATGTACAGGTTTGATAAAAAATTGGTATCTGTTCACCTACCTTCGAGGGTTGTCCTCTAAATTCAAGACTGAGATTGGTTGGGATGAAGAAAGTAACTACTTCACAGCCAATAATTGGAATCGATATGTTTGCCGGTTTTCTCTTATGTTTCTCCTTCCTCTCTCGACATCTTCATCATTGCTTTGTAAGTTATCGCAATAGTTGATTGTTATCTATTATAATTTCTTCCCTATGCCCCATTCCTATGTTTTAATAAGCAAACATGAGCATAATACAAAATTTCAAATTTCATCATATTTCGGTCCATTGTAGGGGCTAAGAAGAGCATATAGCCTGTACCTCAACCCTTAAAAATGACCTCAGGAATGGCCTAATCTTTAGCTATACTGTGTTCAACATACGAGAATGCTAATTATAAGGATTTCAAATTGCCTAAAAGCTGCCTCCTTTATAACATTTACACTCCTAATATATGGAGAAAACTGCCATAGGCAACTATGCCCAATCTACTAGTTAACCAGTCTCAATAGTACAACCAATGCATTCAAACCGCAAAAGCTGAAAGAGTCGTAAGGGAAAGGCCATGACTTCCACCTCAGTTGAGCATCTATACACCAAAGGTGAGAATAAATAAGCGGTGTTAGAAAAGCTTCCAATTTCTAGTCTTGGAACAAGTTATGATCGTGAGAGTTCTAAAGGGACAAAATCAACTAGATCCTCAATTGATAGGGAAAGACTAGATGATATAATTAGTGAAATTACCCTTTTCACTACTGTCTCCATGAAAGATAAGCACAATAGGCATGAGAAAAATGCTAAGTATGGTGTGCCTATGGTTCAGGACCTTGTGAATGCCATGTAATTGTCAGAACCTATGAAGTTGAAAGCAACCATGTACTTTGTTCAAGACAGAAACAAGGGGCAGTGCATTAGGTTCGTCTGGTATGATGAACCTCAACGATATGCCCATATTGGATTGATAATAGAGGAACTTGAATGTGGCATGCCACTACAGTGAGTGATCTTCGACAACTTCGGAGAATTTTTTATATGCTCCATGTGGATTGAAGAGAAGCTATAACTCCTAATTGTACTATTTTATAAAGTCCTCTTCTACGTACTTTGTGAATCGGCATTCTAGTGTTTGATTGTCAGTACTGGAGACCTCTATTCTTTCACATATTTGGTTTACTGTGAATTGGGTGTAATAACCCTTGGAAGGTGGCTATTATTTGATGGTCGTTGCTTTGTATGAGTGTCTTACATTTGTTGGTTCTCATTTTTCATTTTTTCCTTATCGTCCAAGTTTTAGCACGCATGTAATATTTGTTAATGGATTAGACAGATGTAGAGCTGTTAATCGAGCCGAGTCGAGCTCGAGCACATGATAATCGAGCTCGACTCAAACCTCTAATCGAGCTAGCTCGAGCTCGCTCGAGTAATTCGAGCTTCACAAGCTGTTCGAGATCGACTCGGTATACTCGATCGAAAACTCGAGCTCGAGCTCAAAATTGAGCTGAGCTTATCGAGCTCAAGCTTATTTGGGAGATGAACATTAGGGCAAGATCGAAAGAGGAAAGAAAAAATTAGGGCTAGAAATGGAAGAATGAATTAGATAAAAGTATCAAATATACAATGAAATGAAGCTAATGACCCTACTATTCGAACCTATCGAGCTTAAACGAGTCGAGCATAGCTCGGCTCGCCTATTAAACAAGCCTAAAGTTGAACTCAAGCTCGGCTCGTTTCTCTCAGTAAACGAGCTGAGTCGAGCCCTTATCGAGTCGGGTCGAGCTCGGCTCGCGAGCTACCTGATTCGATTAATAGCTCTAGACAGATGCCACAACTTGGATTTTTGTCGGCAAATGCTTAATTACTTAATGCTCACCTAATTGTTCACGTTATAACGGACTTGAATAAGTATAGCCTGAATTTGATTCACATTTTTTAAATTATCTCCCATTTGAAGAAGATGAAATGTGCATCAGTACATTTCAATAACAGAGTGAACAACTCATTAAAAAAAGAAAGGCCTAAAAAAGAACATGAGTAGGTTGTTAAAGTGGAAAAACATATAAAAGTCCAACCCGTCTGATATGTTACTTTTTTTTGGCCTGACATGTACATTCCACTACTGATTTATAGACTATTTTGTGAATTGGATACATCATCCAATTGCTACTATTATCAAACATGAACTTCATACGATGGGGGAACATCAAACGGGTCACAGCTTTGTTAAAGATGAAGTGACCATTTTTATCGACTATTGAATGAAAGTTATTACGTCTTTAGCTGGGCTGATGTAGTTTGCAATATGCATCTCCATTTATTAATAGCCCTTTCTTTAGTATATCATGTGAGAAATGCTGATTCAATGCACCATATCCAATTTTTTAAGATTGCATAAACTATAGAATAGTTGGTCCATCATTTCTATACATTATTTTTTTATTATACAAAATGTACAATAGTTGGTTCAACTCTCGAGCCCTTTATATGTGGTTCAAATGGCCATTTTACAAGTGCCCGAAATTGTCACCTAGTCCACCATTTTGGCCAAGTACACTCCAGTCAACCATACTCGGTGGAGGCTCAACTAAGGTCACCAAAGTAAGTCAATTCAATTAACTTGAAGTTTATAATTGAACCTGAATCTCCTGGTTACTCAAAGTCTCCTTGACTAATGCAAGGGCTATGGATTGGAACGACTATAGTAGTGGCATCAGGAGCTCAAGCAAGACATGGACATCTGATGATAACGAAGAGGATTTGTTCATTGCACTAGGAGAGGAGTTGAATTGGGATATCCAGATGCGGAAAGATATGGAGAGCCAAAACTAAAAATTTCTCACCACGATGGATCATTAACAAGCCGCCAATGCGTAGAAGAATTGATCAACGGTTACTAACAAACGTATAATGGAGAATTATCGTATTACCATTAACAATTTCCTCCTCCTATGTGACATACTTAGGCAAAATAACTATGTTCCTCAGAACTATCAAAATCATGCTGAGATTGAGGAGGCACTGGCCATGGTTTTGGTAATGCCAAACTATTCATATTTTAGGCAAGTAGTACCTTGTCAATGTTGCACACAAGAATGTTCCTGAGTTTCCACCTACATACAAGAATGTAGGTTAGGGGGCTCGAAAGGAAGTGATTTAATATATGTCATTCAAAGCTTAGAAATGTCATTGAGCGAACCTTTGAAGTATTGAAGAAGAGATTTGCATTCTTAAGAAGACTAGTTCCCAATTTTTACATGACCACTCAGATAAGTGTTGTTATAGCTTGTTGTGCATTACACAACTTTCTTAAGTTGAACCAACTAGGCAACTCCACTTTCAATTCTATGAGCAAGAGAACATTGGATTGAAGCATGAAGATGGAGGCGCTGCAATGCCAAATATTCAGCCATTAAATGCTTCCTGAGCTGAAGTTACAGCAGGGAAACAAGACGGGACTCAAGTGCGAGTGAAATGTATGGAGTGTAGCATAGGAGAATGCGCAAACAAGTCATAAGCAATTGTCATATAGATCAACCGATGTTGTTGTTTGCTCCTTTTGTTAGCCGTTTGTGGTTCCTAAATGGGGTGCAACGTGTGCCAAAGAATTTCTTCTTAGTAGGAATAATAGCCAATCAAGTTTGCATGTGGCTAGAGTGTCTATCATGTCATTTTTCATTTATCGGTGGTGTAGTAATTTCCCCGATCATTTTTGTAAGTTGGCTGTTTGTCCTGATATGCATGGTAGTAGTCTAACTATAAATATGCTAGTCAATTTAGTTGTGCAGTTGACTGGATCCAAAGAGTCAATAAGAGATTAAATAACCATTTGTGTTGTTCAAACAGTTATTTGGAATAATTTACTACTGACCCAGCGGTTATTTGGTATTTTGAATTTGCACAAAAGTCAACAAATAATTATAGAGAAAAAGCACCAATCCGATCACTCTCATATCAATTGTGGCTAAGGAGCTATCAATTCATCACCTTTCATCATTTTGATTCCCCATTCACCATCATCTTGATCCTTTAAAATCCCAAGACCCATCATCGGCATCATCCATTTGATTCTTATCATGAACCTTTAAAATTTCAGCCTTAACCTTTTAACTTCCATCGAAGTTAAAAAGGGAAAAACCGGAAGAAAAGAAGAAAAAAGAACAAAAAGAGAGGCGGGAGAGTTGAAGCTCGAGGGTCTTTCTTTGTTTATTTCCTTTTTATCTTTGTTGTTTTTCTATATTTTTTTGTGAGGATTCAGTCTGTGTATTGTGTATTTTGAGCATGAAAGTAGAGAGGTGACTTGGGCCAATCCAATGCTGGACGAAGTTGACGGTTTCTAGCTTCCAGTGGGTTGCTGGTGAATGGATGCAACGCAGAAGCAGCAATAGATTACAAGACTAAATGGATAAGGAGGCTTCCAGTGTTATTATTTAATATTTATAAAGGACAATTCTGATATTTTACGCGTAATCATTAGTTTAGACATTTTCTGTCCAAATTTCAATTTATTTAAAACTACAAGTAATTAAATGTAGGTTTCTAAATCATATAAAGTTAAATTAAACATTCGACAAATTACAAATAACCCTTAGTTTAGACATTTTCTGTCCGAGTTTCAATTTATTTAAAACTATAAATAGTTAGAATATAGATTTTTAAACCATAGAGAGCTAATTTAAACATTCAGCACATCATAAGTATCCTCCTGGCATTTAACCATTAGTTTTAACTTGTGTAGACTTTTAGCCAGATCCAATCGTGAGTAGTAGTCATGTGTCCATTCGAGATTTGACAATGTGGTTTGTAAGTGTAGGATTTATGTGTCCATCCAAGATTTAGACAATGTGTCTTGTAAGTAGTAGTTTTGGGTCTAATCAAGATTTAAAAACGTGGGTTGAGTCATTCGCAATCTAGTTTTGGGACATGAAAACTAAGGTCTCAAAATGAATTTGACAATGCAATTTCAGGGGCATGCGCCAAGAAACTTAAAAACTAATTTGTATTGGCTAGGATGCTTTCAAGGTTGGAACTCCAAGAAAATGGTAATTTTGCTAATATGTTTTAAAAATTGAAATTGAACCTTCACATAAAAATTAGGGATAATTTCAGAAACCTCCCCTGTGGTTTCTGACTATTGCAAGAAGCTCCCTTCTAGTTTAAAAAATTATACTTACCTCTCCTATGATTAGCATTTCAGTTACAATATAGAACCAATATGCTAACTTTTTCCTCAAAAATCCTAAAATACTCTTTTATTAATTAGAAGGGGGAAAAACAAACTAATAAATTTCTTTCACATTGCAACTATTGTAAACAACATAACCACCATTATAACGAACTCAATAAATCACTTCACCTTAATTCCCATATTCTTACAATTTTGACATCCTACTATTGCCGCCCCAAAGCTTCCCATGCAAATCAATTGTGACAATTAAAGTCTGCATTCAACCTAATATTTAGCCTCATTTTTTTGCCTAAATTCAATGTTTGAATTGACCAATGTCAGTATTCAACCTTGTTGTTACTAAAATAATGTAACCTTCCAAGAATATCAACACGGAACAACCAAAAGCAACACTAAAGACCACATCCCATGTCTCCAGGCAAATTTGATTATAGTTTTTATATCTCAAAATTATTTTTTACTCAATTGGTATAATATCGTAACCTTCTTTAATCCACATTCCTTTTTTAGCTATCATTTTTATTTTCTTGTATGTACTTTGTATTACCGGCCATCTTTTTCACCTTCATTTAGTTTGATAACAAATATGATCCGACAACTTGTCATTTTGTAATTTCAATTCAATAATACTTATAAAACAAAAAAGAGAGAGTGTGTTTATTTGCTAAAAAAGAGATGTAGGAGAAAAAAGGTAAGAGAAAGAGTTTGAGAGATAGAACAAGAGTTTAGTTTGTGTGTCAGCAGCTATTTTAGAATAAAAGACTAGTTGTGATTGTAGACTTTTTTTGTATGTAAAAATTATTTATAAGTGAAGGATATCATAATCATTTTACTACATAAAGAGAGGTTAGTGTAATTATTCAAACCTGAAGGGAGGTGAGTGAAATTGTCAGAAACCTCAGGGGAGGTTTCTGAAATTATCCCTAAAAATTAAAGAATACGAAAAGTCAAAGAAAAGTTTAAGAAAGTTAAAACTCTACTTTGAAGCAAACTAGAATTCAAATTGGGTGCATTGAAAAGATTATTTTTACCCCCTTTTATTATCCAAAACTTGGGAATTCATCTTGAAAAGTTTTAAAGAAGTAAAACATTGTGATTTACTTGAATATCTCTAGCTTTCTACGTATTTTGTCGTCTAATAAGAAATAAAACGATCCATTGAGGATCCAATCTTTCTGGCATTTCATATCCTCCAGCTGAGCAAGGAGGAGGACAAAGTTGTAGGTCAATTATGAGAATTGCTGGTAATAAGCTAGAGGATTTACTTCACATTTGCAGCTTTCCATCAGAAAAGGACTAAGGACCAAACATTGTTCCAGAATACTAAAACAAGTATCCAAGATTACACCTTAATTAACACTAGGCAATAGGATGTTGAAGAAAGAGGCATGCATAACATTGCAGCCCTCACACACTTTACATACTGACCACAAAAAATATGGGAATATAGTTCTATCACCTAATCATATTAACACATAGATAATATTCTGTATAGGAAAAATTAACTTTCTTCCAGCGTTGTCAAAAGGTTAAGGTCATGTAGTTGGTAAAGCACTTCATCTTCTGTTACCCCCAAACTTATCAGAGAGGTTAGCAATGACAAAACCTGCAAACACCTGATTGCGTCCTCCATTTATCAGTAAGTTACAAACTGAATACACCATATCCAAGTCAGTCAGAAAAATAAGTTAACTAAACCTGGACGCATCCAAGGATGTAGATTGCAGAGTAGTGACGGCCATGGATAAGCATGTCAGCCAGCATTCCCAAGGGGATTGTCAAGGACATGCCAAGTGTCGCGACTAATGGCGTAGTCCACACCACAGAAAGCGCCCTGTTTCATAGAGAACACTAGATAAATCCATAATAGTACCACAATGTTGGAGGGGACATATAAAAGAAAACTGGAAGTTTGATTGAATAGGAAAGACAATTGCACAAGTAAAATAAGCTAATCCAGTTGTGATTAGAATCTTGTCCTAAAGTTTAGCTAAGATGAATCGAATTCACAACCTTAGTCACTCACATGGGGCTAACTACTTGCTGTAGAAGCAAATTACAAATTGAAACATCAGAACATAGAAGCATGACTTGCAGTCAAACATACAAAATATCCTTAAATCAAGCTCGTAAGGCACTCAAATAACAGAAGACTACTCCAAAGAGTAGAGCTAGTAGGCACGTATGAATACAAATGGTAATCAACAGCAGTTATTGCTACCTGCAAAGCTTAATCAACAAGAGAGCTGACTACCTCGAACAATTTGCCTACTCACAATCTAACCAACATCCATTATTTAAGGTAGATCTTTCCATCTTTCGCCGTAGGGAGACAGTCGTTTCATAACGACCAGTTAGGAAATCCGAACAAGAAGATCTATCCTTTTCATAGTGCTGCTTTAATTCAAGTGGGGGTTTAGTTTTTTTTTTTTTTTTTTACTCTCTTTTTTCCTAGGTTGATTAACTAAACACGAATGAATACATATTAGCCCTATTATTTTTTTATCACTTTTGGCAGCCACATAGTTTTCAATAGGTATACATAATAGTTAATTTTTTCAAAGACATTCCAAAACTAATTCTCATGAGAACAATTTCAAATAAAAATATTGAGATTAAGCACCTTGAAAAGAAAAAGAAGAAGAGTGCATTAAAAGAAAAAGAAGAAGAGTGCCTTATGAAATTTGGTAATTCACCTTTAAATTGTGGCCATGAAATTCTTTGTGAGACAACTACAATAGAAAATCATAGCCACGAAGAGAGGATGAGGGATTCATTAATTGTTATAACCTATGCATGAAGGAAATACTGAAATGCATAGACTCAGATGGTTTATTAAAATTTCACATATGACAAACCGCAAAACACAGAGCATATTGTCTTTTTTCTATCTGTATCTCCAGTAAATTTTCCCTGCTTTCTTGGGAAGAACTAAAAAAAGAAGACTCTACCAAATATGTAAAACTCCAAATTGGATTTACATGGTTGGAATCCTTTTCCTGTAATCTTTCTCTTTTCTTGTTCACTTCTTTTTTATGCATGTAGATATACCTTATACATTTTATTAACTTCTGTTTTTCCAGCTAAGTAACAGGTACTAGCTCATTAATTTGCTCAAAAGCAGAAAACTAATAGAAAATACCATAGGTTAGTCAAAACATCAGTGGCAGGAACCACTTAATCATCTCGTGAAGCCATAACTATGATTTCCGATCTCTGGTCTGCTTACTGTGACAAAAATTATACTGGAATTAAATGAATGTTGTTGATTAAGTTCAGTGACATTGTGTTGGGCTTTCCCTGAAAGTTGAAAGCAAGGTTACCTCTTAGTTAGCTTCTGTTATTGGTCAAGTTTGAAGTTGTATTTTATAGTAGCAAAACAACGTCTGATTTCTATAAATTTTCTGCTGTATTAAACTTGTCATACATTGTCCATGTAGCATATCTTTTGGAGGTTATCAAAAAGATAAATGTCCACATTTATTAAAACACATGATTTTCTTTCTCCCCCCACCCCCCACCCCAAAAAAAAACACAAAAAAAAAAAAAAAGTAGTAAGTCCTATGAATGGGAAAACAGATCTGAAGTTGCTTTGACTAAATACTGCAACTGAAGATCCAGTGATGTTGATCTACTCACAAATCACCCAGTACAGCACTTTATTCTATTCATTACCTTAGTAGAAGGAAATGTAACTCCAGAACAACTAAATAACTAACAGTGAACTATAATGCACATTATGTAAAGTATAAAAATAGCTACTTACTGCCACAGAATTATTCGATGACAAACATTTGCTTGATGTTTGGCTTTGGATAGGTTGATAGGATTCTGATGACTGAAAAGAGAAGAATAAACAACAACTGAGTCGGCTTATAATAGTAGAGTCAATTGAAATGATATAGTTATGTAAGTCCAAAAATAAGATTCAGTACTAACCATCTCAGGAGTGCTTGCCTTAGACAATCTAGAGTTCTTCTTTGCCTATGAAACCTGTCCACCCAACTACACAATACTTTCTTAGTTTTTTTGCCACTTCGTTTCTTCAAACCCGTTGGAGTCACAAAGTGGCCAGCTGCATTCTGCACCTGTATTTCCTTACATAGATCCATTGATGCACTATTCTGTGTTATTTCATCTATTTCTCCACAAAATAGTATTTCGACTCTCTTTGACAATTCAGACATTACGCTACCGACTAACTTTGTAGCGGCTTCTGACATGGCAGCTCTGGTAGCAAGTCTTACTATTTCGGGTGCTAATAGCCTATATCGATGGGAAATAGAGAGAGACAGATCTGATGATATTTCTCTACCCTTGCAATCGACGCTGCCTCCGGATCTTGCCTTCTTTGTCCACCTCTTTGTCACATATTGATCAGGAATAAACTTTGTTCCAACCATATCATACACCTTCAAAGCATGTGAGCATAGGATTCCTTTCTGCTCAAAAAGATTACAACTACAAGTAATGTCTTTAGTTATTGGATTCAATGTCACTCTTCCCTCCTCCTCATCATACTGACTGACACTGTATTTCACATGCATTGTAGTTGCTTTTGTCCAAGATCACCATTGTATTGGATTCATCGTATTTATTTTGGAATGCAACAATATGCATGGAGAGTATATAGAAGCTGCCTGAATCAGTACAGGAGTCTATTGCAATCCCAACATTGGCAGCTTCTGTCGACTGTGATACTCAGCTTTTAGTTCATTATATCTTTTTTCATCCACAACTCGGTTAAAATGTTTGAAGAATTGAACCAGATCATGATCAAGTTTCAGATATTTTTTATGGAAGTATTTAGACTCTCACTTAGTTGGGTGCTACGCATACCTACAGTCCAAGCACCTTTCATGAAGCATTTTGTCCATTTCTTTCAATATGCATAAATGCCACGCAACCATTCATTTGTTTCGAACTTGTGTTCTTTTAGCATCGCATCCCAGGCCATAATAAACTCATTTTTATCTTCTATCTCATACATACATTCAACAAATTTATATGGAGATTACTATCATCTTGTAATAGTTCCCAAGATGTTTTCAAGAAATTGACTCTAATATGAAAATTGCACAAACCATGGTATGTTAAAGGCATAACAGTTGAAATTGCAGCGCGGCCATGGCTACATCCTGATTTGTGAAGATGGTTTTTGGGTGCTTTCCACAAACTGCCTCTACAAATGTACCGAACACCACTTGAATGATTCAATGGTCTCATCATACAATAGAGTTGCTCCAAAAATAACCAATTGTCTAAATTGATTGAATCCCACAAATACGCCCAATGGTCTGTACTCCTTGTTAGTTTTGTATGTGGTATCAAATGTAACCACATCCCCAAAATAGGTATAATCCATCAGCATTGATGCATCAGCCCAAAATATATTTGTAATTTGTTCTTCACAATCAAGCTGCTCTGCGTGGAAGAATGACGGATTTTCTAATTTTTGTTCTTCAAAGTATCGTAGCATTGCACCAGTTTCATCATACTTTAATCCCCTCTCTCTTTTTGTTCGTAGATAGCGTTTTAAGTCATCATGAGTGTAGTCAATATTGCCTAATCCACCTGCCTCTTTTCCCATGAGTTCATGGGATTGTTTCAAGGATATTCCTGCATCATTTGCAATCTCAGCTTGGGCTCCTTGAAAAATACTTACTTTTTCTTTGCGAACGCATCATATGAGCACATTCTGAAATGTGTAGTGTGTGATTATGCTCGATTACCAGATCTCGAACCTGATACTTCATTTTTCTCTGTTCAAATTATCCTCATTTTAGCTTCACATCCAGTTTTTGTTTCACCCGAGTTCTCTTTGGTTTTACATCTCCTTCGTATCGTCGTTTGAAACCTTCTTTGCAACATGTGTACCTTCTCGATGTAACTACACTGTCTTTATCCTTGTTCAAATAATCTTTCCGAACACTGAACCCAACAACTAATCCGTACCTATTGTAGAAGTTGTATGCCTTATCTTCTGACTGAAACTCGATGCCGATTTTAGGACATAATGCTTCTTCCATTATGTTGTATTCGACAAAAGCATTTTTTGCTATTGTTTTTCAGGACAAACTATTATATTTATTTTTATTTCCTTATTCACATCATAGCACTTAATTATTTGTATTCACATATGTACATACATTATAACGACGTGTACACACTTTACAACATTTTGTAAAATATATTTTTATGGATATGTATTTCTCTGTAATAGGTAATCATAATTCTAATAATTTGCATAGTATATTTCACTATATAATATATACATTTCAAACAAATATTATAACCAATTTGTGTATAATATCAGTATTTATATACTTTACAATCATATGTACACACTTTATAATAATGTGTACACCCTTTATATCAACTTGTAATATAACAAATGCATGTATGTAAAATACACTTTTACATAGCGTAAGGTTTGATAGAGTTCTCAAAATCTGTACATTGTCATTTATACCGTTTGTGTAGTTATTTAAGTTGGTCACATTGTTAAGTTGTTTTTACGCTTATGTTATTTTATTTGTACACATTCTCATTTATATTTTGAAATTTGTACGGGATCTTTATTGTACAAGTTAACCATTCTCTGTAAAAGGATAGTGACATACTTCTTATAATTTTCAAATCATGATTCACTAGATAACACATTTATTACAATCAAATTACATATAATATTAGCATTTACCTTGGACAGAGTTCACCATGCAGTGGATTTCAGATGGGCTGCTCACAAAGTCTCGGCTATGCATTTGTTACTCGATGAATATCTTCTCAGTCATCCACAAGTTAAATCGGCGTGTATTGTTGCTGTAACGGATCTTCATAATTATCTTTGTGCACACCTTAGACAAGATGCCCGTTTTGATAGGATTTATTTAAGAGTTGAAAGAGAAGAAAACAAAGATTTATGTCTATGTTGTGCGAAATAATTTGTTAAGAGGAGAAGAACAGAAGGAGTTGCAGTGACAATGTATTGTGTTCAAAGAAAACCCACAACCGCCATTTTCTTCCCACCTCTTTTAAGTTGAAAGAGTTTTAAAGCCCGCCGATCGTACCAAAAGTTTATTTTCAAATTTTGATTTGAATTTTTCATACCCTTAACGGCCAGACCAAACGGAGTTAAAAGTCAAGTTTCTATTAAAGCTACAATCCTCTACACTCATCTCCATTTTGTTCCCCAAATTTTTGGCCGTTGATGATGGGTCCATCACATCTTGGCCATGAAAAGTTTCTGGACGGTTGATTGACAACCGTCCTAGCCCCTGGTCCGTATATCTTCTACTAGAATTCTGACCCACCGGTCCCATTTCAAATCAAAATAGCAGAATTATTTTTTTAGTGTCAATCACTATCAAAATGGTGTTATTTTGAATAAAAGCAAAGGAAAAAAAAACCAAGGTTATTTTGATATTACCGTTTGACAAAAAAAAAAAGCAAAGGAAAAAAAATCCATACCCATGCACTTGAAAGAAACTATGAAATTGCCTGGAAATTGTGTTTAATTGTCATCCTTTTTTTTTTTACAATTGCTTATAAAAATTTGTGCTATTTTAGAAAAATTCCTTTCTTTCATTATATATTGTAGCATGAGAATTTTGTATATTTTTAAATTACCTATGATTGCATGAGTAATAGAAAAAAATCTAATTCCAAATGCGTTATTACACAATAATTGATTTCAAATAATTAATCTTCAATAAAAGATAAAGCAATTAGCAAAATTAAATAGAAAAATGCCCAAATAAGGTCGAAAAAATATACCAAACACACTCATCACTTTCGCTCTCTTCTTTCCTCTCTACCACCTCTTCTACCTTGTAATTGCACCATTTCTGGTACTCTTCCCCTTCTTTTTGCCATACTCCCTCATCTTGTAACTTTATCTCTTTCATTTTCCCTTCCCTTCCCTTCCTTCATTCTCCTTCCCCAATACTATATGTCTTAATTTTCTACTCTCTTCTTACCTAACAGACCTATTTTTTCCTATCCTCCCAATCTTTTCCTTACCCCTATCCTACAAGTCGCGTATCATTGCTCTCCAGTCAATAATCTCATCTCCTACTTGCCCTTGTAATTTTATCTATTACTCGCTTGAGACCCTTCTCCCATATTACAAATTGCCATCCTTCCACCTCTCAACTCCACTTTTTTTTGTTCATTACCCATTTATATATAATGCATATATACATGTGTGATTTATCTAGTTATACAAATTATTAGAGTTTTATGTATGCTTACTCGAGCTCAATTGGCTTGAACTCACGTTCATATTCAAATTAGTCTTATTAACAAGATATGTATATATATATATATATATGAAAAATTCTTTAATGCTGTTATTATTTTCAAGAGAACCATATCATTATTTTTAAACCAATAATAAATTGCCATCTGAGAGGTTTTAATTTGATGGTTGTGTTTTTAGCAATTTATCCACAAACTTATGAGTCAGTGTTTCTAGAGGGGTTTTTGAACAAACTTTACTATAACTATGTGGGTAAAATTTCTAAGTGAACCAAGTTATTTAGTAGATTACCTTGGGCAAAATCTACAACACACAATTATTTTATTAATGACTTAAATACCATTTTTTTTGTCTATCTAGAAGGGGCATATATATCTAAACTATTTTATTAAACATCCTAAACTTTTAATTAAATTGTTGTACACGAGTTCGACCTAAGAGCTTAATCACATTGCTTGGTTAATACCTAGTCAAATCGTTTCAAGAACTGAGCTAACTCAATAACGCTAACAAGCCCACTTAGTTTTGTTTTTAGTGCCAAAAATGACTCTAGGGTGTTTGTTTGAGTCAAAATATTGCAAAAGGTTCTTTCAATAAACAGGATATGGAGATTCACCACTGAGTGTGTTCCCAAGTAGCTTAGGTCAAGTACAAGCTGATAGACCAAGAACTCCTATCCAAACACCTTCAAGTACGGAACAGCATATATAATTAGGATCTCATCTTCCGTGATGACTCCCATGCTCAAGTCAGTACAAATTATTCACAATCTAAAGAGAGAATATGTGGACTTGTTCATTATTACCTTGAATAAATAGACTATGGGGAGTATTTATAGATTGTGAAAAGAAAAGATGACCGATGTCCTAGATGTAAGATTCTAACAGCCCATGTGAAGGGATAGATCATGCATCCCAACTACGAAGAGATGTCGGGAGGCACTTGGAGCTCTGGAAAGAGCTCTACAGTGCCGAAGTATTGGGTCGCCACAGAGAACTTTGCAAGAGACTGACTTGAGCACAATACTTGACCTCCCTTGATAACTCTTTACGTTTTTTTTTTTTTTTGGAAACGATAATCTGATAACTCTTACTTAATTGGATAAGAAGTGCTTCATACAAATGTAGGGTTACAATCTGAGACCTTGTTTGGCAAGCAAATTTTTGGCCAAGATTTTCTGCTACAAATTTTTTTTTAACAACTTTAACTACAGTAATCTCAAAAAACTTTTCACAAATTTTAAACTATACACTTTAAAAATCCAAAAATTTACACACTTCAAAAAAATTTTTACAACTTCTACAGTAAAATTTTAGACAAACACTCAAAAAACTCACTTGCCAAACGGGGTCTAAGAATGGCTTATCTGCGGAGGCTAAGCTGGATTTTGTGATAAATTGGCTCCAAACCTTAGTTTTGTAGCAAATATATCCAAAGCCCATTACGTATCGTTGAGATATAAGACACCTTCATGACTAGGGATGTAATCGAGCCAAGTCAAGCTCGAGTATTGCTATACTCGAGATCGACTCGACTCATATATACCTAGGCTCGATCTCGACCGAGTACAAAAAATCGATACTCGAAACTTGACTTGAGAAACTCGCTTTAAACTCGAGACTCGACTCGATAAGGCTCGACCTTTAGTCAAGCCTTATCAAGTCGAGCTTAATCAAGTTTTTTGACTCGACTCGACCAATTATGTTATTACTTTTTTGTCATTATGAAATTTTATTATAAAGAAGAGTTTATTGTAAATTCCGTAAAACTTATATTCATAATGGTCATTTTATAATTATAATACATATATATTATTTAAATTATAAATATATTATTTAAATACCCTCGACTCGACGAGTAACTCGACAAGTCTCGAGTCTCAAAATATTGGATCGAAACTCGACTCGAATGACAATCGAGTAGCTCGAGACTCGACTCGAATTCGGTCAACTCAAGTTCAAACCAAGCCGTTGACCGAGCTACTCGTGAGCTACTCGATTATGACTCGGCTCGCGTACATCCTATTCATGACCATCTTAACACCTTTTATCTGCAAAGGAGGCAAAGAGGTCGACTATCGTAAACACCTTTCTCGCAACACCTTATTACATTATCTGCAAAGTAAAGAGGTAAACTATCTTAACAGCTTTATGACTTGAAAAGATATAAACGATGTGAACAAGGGCAGAAGGGAAGATAAAAGAGGCTCCTATGTCCGGGTTTCAAAGGTCATTGAACAAAACAAAAACTGCAGGATTTGCAAGGCTATTTCAGCACCAAGAAGCCAGCTCAACAAGTCTTTCTTTCAGATTGCGTCCTTGAAGAATTACTGATCTACTCAAGCCTCATCTTCCTGCCCTAAATCTCCATTCTTAATATTACCGAGGAGGGACTGGCGAAGAGTTCAGCTTTGAAGCTTTGAACATGAACCGTCTAGAGGGAAAGAAAGATGAAGAACTCCTCATTTGCTTCTCGGCTTCCTTTCTCCAACAGATGTGGATAAATTAGCGCCCCTTATTCTTAACTTTTAGAACACCAACCCCAAAAGTGACTGTAATTGCCTTAAAGTACCTGCAGCTTCTTCCATATCGAGCATTGACAAGGAAGTAGAGCTTATTCGACCAAAAATTTTAGCCAATAATTAACTCACTGCCACTTTCTAATACCAACCAAAAGAGGTCTTCAGTTTTCGGTTCATGTCAACTGCAGAAAGTGCATCAAATTGCAAATCCTGCACTTTTAGATGCTACAGGAATAAACAAAACTGAG